TGCTAACTACTGGTGTGTAAGATAGTGCAGTAAACCACTAAGCCATGACGCACGACACCTCCATTATCATCTTTTTATTTTCTTTTTTTACATATAAAAATTAAATGACGTTTGTTAGTGTCGTTAATACTCGAGAACGGCTGAACTGATTTGGCTAATTTCGGTTTTTAAATATTTGTAGAACTCCAAGTTTAAGTGGTGAGAAAATATGAAGTGAATATGAATGAAATTGCATGGAAAATTGTAAAAACAACAATTTCATTTTCCCATACAAACTGTACGTACCTGTCAAACAAAACGTTTATTGCGTAACTAAACTTAAATAAACCTTTGACATATTATTTAATTCTGATGCGGAACAGCTACAGTTACTGCAGCAAGTCATGCTCTAAAAAGAACTCGCACGAATCTTCCTTTACATCCCCGACTGTGTTAATGAGCTCCACATTAGTGTACACACAAACGTACAACCAGGGTGACATAAATACTAAGACCACTAATTGTTTTACATACAAAACACTTATGTAATAATGTCTTCTAAGGGTATTGGGTCCCTTTTAGGGATTAATATGGATAAAGGGGATCGGCGGGGGATCGTCGGGTTTGAGAAGCGTTGGTAATTGTAAGGGAGCGGAATAGGCCTATCTTTCCTGTTAGGAACTTACGCTAATGTATTATATATATGTATAATGATGGTGTCGTTGGTTTAGTGGTTTAGTACACCGCCTTGCTTACAATGGTTTCGGATTCGATTCCTCGCACGGCACAAACACTTGTATGAATACAAGTGTTTGTGCTGTGCGAATCGAACTACTATTTTAATTACTACTCGAATCGACTATTTTAAAAAGAAAGTTATAGTACTATATTATATTATTATTATACTATTAGCGGTAGATTTTAAAAACTGGATGACTATTGAAAAGTGCTTAAATTAAGTTTATTTGAATAAATGATTTTCTATTCTATTTCTATTCTATTCTATAACTACTGTATTTTTATTATTGTTAGTATTTGGCAATGTCAAGCATTGCGTTCGTCAAAAAGTTGCAAACACTCTGACTACCCCAATTGGAATTACCGTCGTGAACACAATGAAAATGTCAATTCGGCGGTATCGTTCCCACGGACCGCAAACTCGTCTTCCAATTACGACGGTACGCTTTTTGTTGCGAGTAAATCGGCAGATTAAAGAGTTAACGTATTGTTCCATAAACACGTACGATACGACACGACAACTTTCCGAATATCTTCCGTATATTCCACATTATACAACAACACGTATATAAAAGGCAAGCTTAATGCCATAGGGAACTCTCTATCAGCTAACATTTTTTTTCGGACTACACTAATGCTGTTAGCCGTAGCTGGCCTTTACAGCTTCACTAATGATAGGGGGCGTGTGCGGATGGCATTCCAAACCAAAGAAAGGACTTACGGAGCGGCTGACGGGCAACACCCGCCTCGTAACATTTATTATACTAATCAATGGTTTTATACATATATTACATATATCATTTTAATGGATTATGATTATAATTTGAGTGCCATATCTCACCATCTAACTGAAATATAGCAAGCTACAATATACGATTTACAAAGTATAGATTTTAATAACAATATCTCAGGACAATTCACACAGAGCCATCTAGTCACAAGTTAAGCGGAGTTTGTGTTATGTATTAGACAACTGATACAAATACATAGATATTTTTCTGTAAATATACATAGAAAAATGCAGACCGATACAAACAATCATACTTATGAACACAAGTGTTTATGTCGTGCGAGGCATCGAACCTACGATCACCGGAAGTAAGACGGTATGCTAAATAGCAACATCTCCGAGGCCGTCTACTACACTACATTTTGTTGATTATCTACTGTTTTTAACTTGTCGAATACCGTATTGAAAAATATTATTTCTCACTTAGAAACCCGCATTTTTTTATTGTTAATTACGTATATTATTTTTTAAATATGTTTTACAATAATTTGAGGTAGACATTATTTAACCCCTAGATTTATTTCAAATAAAGTTCCCACGGGTGATCACCCAGTCCCGACGTGTAAATTTACTTTGCGGAGTGACCCACCGGTGAGCACGATTAACACGTTAAAGTCCACATGGACTTTAACGTTTTAATCGTGTCGTGCGATAGTGGAAACGCAACCTTACGTCAACATCTTAAGATGCCATTCCTGCTACGAATCGGAACGCTGCCATATCACAGACGACTATGGCAAATGCCATTTTGTTAAATTGTATTTATCATTATTATTGTAGTAAGTTTATATTATAAATGTGAAAGTGAGTTTGTTGATTTATTTGTAGCTAAAGACCTTTGCCGAATAGTCGACTGGGAGAAAATGCCTTATGGCCCAACTTTGCACTTTAAATTTTGTGTTTGTGTATTAAAGTTTTACTAAATGAATAAAGAGCTTATGTCATAATAATAGTTTTGCGTCTAGCGGTTTAGCATACTGCCTTACTACCGATGGTTGCGGGTTCGATTCCTAACACAATGGAGATATTTGTATTTATGTGTATGATTGTACGTTTATTATATGTATATGTTTTTAATGTATACAAGTATTTATATCTGTTGTCTAGTACCCATAACACAAGCCCGTCTGAACTTGAGATTAAAAGACTCTGTGTTAATTTTCCTGGACTCTTATTACCATTAACATTAATGTAAGCTCTATCTAATAAAGAATAATTAAAATCGGACAATCTATAAAATTCACTATCTATATGCAGCTGTAGATCTACACTGAGCGGTATTAGTTACATTGCAAATGTCAATACATCCAAGTAAAGCCAATAATCAAGACATTGTAATACAACTTCACTAGACAACTCGATACTAATCTGTGATTGATCACCAATTTGTGTCTAGAAACTGTAATGACCATATCCAATACCCAATTGAAGTGAAAATAACCACAAATTACAGAAATAAGCTTATAAAATATCGCAACAAAAGACGACATATACATAAAACATACGGGAATGTAATGTGAACGCAAACGTTGCGGTTGAAGATCTTGAAACGCAACTAAAATTGTATTTACATACAAACAATAAATACACAGACAACTTTGTACAGAGTATATTAGTAATATTATTTAGTAAATGACAGTCTAGGTGGTCTAGCGGTTTAGTACACCGCTTTACTTTCAGTATCCGCGGGTTCAATTCCTGGCAAGATACATAATTTTATATTCATGAGTATGATTGTTTGTATTGATCTGGATATTCTGTATGTATATGTACTATGTATGCATTTACAAACAAAAATGTATATGAGAATATACGCAGTTGTATAGAACATATAATACAAAATCTGTTTAACTCTGGACGCACTCTGAACGCTATCTAGTGTTGTGTGGGTATGTATGCATGTATGTATTGTCCTGGGTTATTATTATTTCTCTAGTAAATTTTAATAACTTGATCAAAATTATAGATATTTAATCAACTACAAGTATTAGCACGTTTTTACTTGGAGAAAATCCCTCTTAAAAATCCGGCGTTCTGAGGGAGGTAAACGGGCATTGTGAGACTTCCACCCACTCCAAAATGACGACATTACGACACTACAAAACTCCAAGAAAATCCAATAATATTTAACTCAATACAGAAAATAAAAAAAGAAAATCCTCTCGTGTTAACATGTAATGGAGAGAAGTGTAAAGATACGGAAAATGCATAAAAAAAGACAAAAATAATAGACGCACTTGAACATGGCCTATGAAAGAAATGGAAATGGACAGGTTACGTAGCTAGGTACAAACAGAAAAGCTAGACTCGCCAACTAACAAAATGGCTAGAAGCGGCAAGAAGAAGGCGAGAAGTTCGACAAGCAAAAAGATGGTTCGATGACATTAAAGAAATGGCTCGGGAAAAGTGCACGAGTGTGGTTCCGAATTACAACATGGAACTATATATATGTGTAAAGAAACCAAATTAGTCAAACTTGAAATAGAAATTTAAATTGTATTTATATGGATAATAAGTTTAAATATAATATATTTAATACACACAGTGTAGCCAGTTTACCAACTAATTACTTGAAAAGCAGCATTCCGGCCTAGGATTATTACACGTATGTGCGTTTTCAAGAATTACAGAGAGTCACACGGCTCCGCGTCGGCTCGGAGGGTTAGAGGCCCATCAAGTACTGTTAGAGGAATTAAACGTCATGTCTGTAACGGAGTAAGGTTTCTTCTGGCGACATCGCCGCGTCTCGCGTAGTACTACACTCAACTATGCCCGTAATGGAATTTAAGTTCTTCTTTGAAGCTGATAAACGGATTCGTACTTTAACGTTAACGTTGTTAAAATTGTAGTGGACGTTATACGCTTAAGATGCTTTGGAGTTAGACGTTCTAATTAGTTATCTTTCTTAGTACTTCCAGTATCCTGCCTGAATAACCATTTATTTTTCATATTGCGACCGAATTAGCCCAACTCGTAACAGTCATTTATGCAATTTTTGACATATTTTAATAAAGATTGTTTGTGTCAACTGCAGTTCTTTTGTTAACTTAATTACTTGTATCAGGAATACACCCATATCTAAAAAAGTCACTGAATTACCTAGCCATTATAACTATTTTGTCAAAATTCTGAAAGCAAAAATGTTTTTCATTTTAAATAACTGGAATGATTTATAAGCTATACATAGATCAGTGCTATATTTTTATGGTTCTTTTAACTACTGTTCACTATTACTTTAAGTTTTTCTTTTATGTTAAACAAAAATATCTACCAGGTTCAGAGGTTTAGTGGTTTAACACACCGCCTTACTTCTAACGGTCACGAGTTCGATTCTTCACACATGAGTATTTTTTTTGCGTTCTTTGTGTATATTTACTATATAGGCGTACGTGTATACAAAGCATTTCTAATTGTCTAGCTTTGACCAAAAACTCAAGCTCTGCATAGCATGTCCCTAGATGGCGCTGAGGGAATTTTTGTTAATTACCTCCGTGTTGGGGATGCAGTGCGAGCAACAGACAGGGCTCTTCACCAGGCTCGCGGCAGCACTCCAACACATCGAGACAGGTGCTCTGAGGCGTTACGGGCACGTGCGTGGCCGACCAACCCGCGCCGCTTTCGCACCACACTCGCACTATCATCTGAAATTATAAAAAAAATTGGGTATCGCAAGGAAACTGTAAAAAGGAACTCTTTAGAAAGAGAAATAGAAATAGTCTTTATTCTTCTTCAACTTCTTAGCACTGACTCACTTTATGTGGAGCCGGCTCCCCTAATTTTGCGACGCCATGACAGTCTGTTCTGGGTTGTCGGGTCGGCCAAACTTCCCATAGCGATAAGTTTATTCAAATAAACTTATGATAAACACTTTTGAATAGTCTTACTTTTTAATTCTATCACTCATTCGAAACACAAACTCATCATAAGAAGAAAGAGAAGGAACATCTTGCTCTTTTAAAAAAATGTTGTTTGAATTACATTATTAAAAATGTTCTGTGAATACAATCTACCAAATAATAAAATATATACAAATTTATATTTACTTGAGTAATAAAATAAATCGGTCATAGTTATTAGAGCAGACCAGTGCAGACCAGAAGATAACAGCATTAAACACTATGCAAATTTTGTTATTTTCATTGTATAATGCTTCCTAATGATATCTTGATAGACTGTTTTACACTTTGCAAGAATTGACATAATATCTAATCTCTCCACTATATCTGCAAAATATTAAACCGCAATACCACTGAAGTTTATTATTCCAATAAATTATTAACTATAAAAGAAAAATCTATTACAATCTCCGATCGTTCAACGGAACATTCTATTCAATTTCCTGCTCATGAGTGGACGACAAAATCGTTTGCTTGCTTTCTTCAATCGCAGTTTCTGAACTGGCTACGTTCTAGGTTTGTGCAACTTGTAAACGAACTAGTTCGGAAGAGTTCCAAAGAGGAACTATGCGAACTACCTACGATGGTGGCAAACAAGCATGGGAAACGGTTACAGTAGCCTAAGGATGCCTGAAATAGCAGGGGTATTACTTGCGCATTGCCAAACCTTAGATACCTTAATATACCCTTCTTGGAAAACCCCGTGCTGTAGTCTCTCGAGAAGACCTCGGCAGGTAGTTAATTCCACAATCTAAGTGTACTGTTTAGTTCGTTTAATATTAACGTCTCGATAGAAAAAACAAGAACACATTTACTTGAAAAAATAATCCTGGAGGTTGACCTGGATAGGCTAGTCGAGTAGGGTGCAAATGTAAAAGAACGAACTACGAACTAGAGCTGCGAACTAAATTCTGAGATCTCAGTCGCGAACTATTGTTGCAAAACTAGTACGTACATTTCATATGAAACCTTGCAATATGGAAGTTTCAATAATGCTATTTTCCACTAGTTTTCCAAGTGGCGTTAGTATGCTGTGGCAGTTTCCGACACGTTAGAACATGTACGCTCTACGTCGCCTATGAAACTTTTATCACTACATTCTCTTCATATATTACGTACCTTTACGGACACTTTTGTAATGTTTTATATACTTTATACAATACTAGCGACTTGCTCCGGCTTCCCACGCTTATTTCTATTAAATTACACAAAACCTCAACGTGTTTATTACACCTATCTAAACCTTCCTTCGAACCCAAATGGTCTCGGATTGTGCGGTTTCAGAGGAGTTTCCTCCCACGTACACTTAGATTGTGGAATGAACTACTTGCTGAAGTTTTCTCGAGAGACTACAGCATGGGGTTTTTCAAGAAGGCTTTATATTAAGATGCCTTAAGAGACGGCAACGCGCACGTGACAGCCCTGGTGTTGCAGGCGTCCAAAGGCTATGGTTAGGGTTGCCAAATTTCTTTGACAAAAATAACAGATGAACTGCTTTTGGATAGAAAAGAAAATATTAGGAAATGTTTTTGCATTAAAACTAAACTCACAATTGACATCTAACATTTTGTTCAGTAATTATAAATCGTTAAATACCCATAATTAGTATTTCGTTTTACGATGTATGAAATTTTGCGTACTTATCATTATCATTACATAGTATGAAACAAACTTGCTGTCGCTATCTGACCGTCCCTATGTATATTTAAATCTTTAAAACAGTGATTACCAAAGTGGTCTATATCGGTACAACAGCGGTCATCTTGTTGTTTTTAATTTATGTTTTTAATACTAAACTTTACTGCAATTAGAAATTTACAAAAAAATCAATACCAGGTAAGTATGAAGGGTCTACCCAAAACCGAAAAATATGGCAAGGGGTCTACGACACAAAAAAGTTTGAGAACCTCTGCTTTTAAACTACGCAACGGATTTTGAAGCGGTTTTCTTAATAGATAGAGTGATTCAAGAGGAAGGTTTATATATATATAATACACGTACACCCGTGCGAAACCGGGGCGAGTAGTTAGTAGTTTATATAGAGAAGGTATGATGTATGAAGAATATGAGGTATGAAGAATGGTATTTTTTTTTAAATATACGCATAAAAATACATTAAATAAAAAAGAACAACCATAAAGAAAAAGAAAACAAAATATAATTTAAATTATTTCGAATAATTTAAATTATAATTCGATCGAATTCTGACTGTTGGGCCAATCACTAGTAGTCTTAATTATTAATTTTGGTATTGGATAATTGTTTTAGAATGTAGTATACACTTGTTATAGATAGTTATTTGTCGTGTGATTGAAAATACAATAAGACAACAGTCCAACGTCATTCCATCGACACAATATCCGTCATTAATTAACAATGTACCTATCAATTGATGTAATTTGATATACTCTGTATTGACCACAGATCTTCCAATGGGATAGTGTTACATGTCATTCAGAGTATGACATGTCGACACAGCGACGCCGTGTAAGGCAAGCCAATTATTTGTACTCCAGAGATTCAGGGATGCCAACCATGGATGAGTGATTAAGATAAACATGTGAATGTCGCGAGTTCGAGTCCTCGCACGGTGCAAATATTTGTATTCTTGAGTATGATTGTTTGTATCTAACTGGGTATTTTCTATGAATACTATGTATTTACAAAAATAATGTATTTATGTATTTATATTAGTTTTCTAGTATGCATAACACAAGCTTTACTTAGCTTCAGTCTCTATCGCCGGAGGTTAGTCAGAAAATTAAACTTAGACTAAATGATTACTAGTATCGCAATAGTAGTTCGTGCACGGGATTTTCATTTATTGTTACACATAAACACCTACATAAATATACATTCTAAATAAACTGGCTTTAAAAAAAAAGGAATTCAATAGAGTTTCTTGCCAGTTCTTCTCAATTGGATCTATATAATGAATTGGACGGCTAGTAAAAATATAATATAAAAAATTGGATGTTCATAAGAGGATAAAATGACCTAAATGAATAAACGATTCTTTAATTTGAATGGAATTTGAATATATCAAGATTTTGATTTCCACCAGGATCAATTTTACGACCTTTCATTTTTATATATCTCGGTCACGGTTGAGACTCTCACATATATAACTATACGTATATATTTATGTATATAAATAAATATAATTAAAGTGTCTGTTTGTCATATCAAATTCACGTTTTCACTAATTGCATATGAAAGTACATTTTTTTTATACTACGATGGTAGCAAACAACAATACGGTTCATCTGATGGTAAATGGCTACCGTAGCCTCTGAACGTCTGAGACACCAGGGGTGTCAAGTGCACGTTGCTGACGGCATACGGAAGTTTCATCGAAAAATTATTTTATTAAAATAAATTGTCTGTTCATTTCTTCTTACTAATCTCTAAAACGGTTGAACCAATTTTGACGGGATTTTCACTCGCCGATAGCTAATCTTATAAGGAGTAACTTAGGCTACCTTTATTTTAGATTGCTTATAATTCCACGTGGATGAAACCGCGTGTTACAGCTAATCTATATATAAAAAAAATTACTGTTAGTTGTTTTAGTTAGTTTGTACATCTATTAAATCATCTATTAAAAAGAGCAACACACAAGTTTCTTGCTCATTCTTCTTGTGATGAATCTGCATTCCGAATGAGTGGTAGAATCAAAATATGACTATTCAAAAGTGCTTGTAATGAGTTTATTTGAATAAAGATTATTTCTATTTCTATTTGTTTAAAGGAATAACTTGAGCTACTCTTACTTTAAAAATTTTATAAATTAATATTATAAGTCTCATGCAGACGATGTCGCGGGTGATAGATAGTGAAGCATGTATTCAACTAAGTATAATGATTATTAATGGTTTTGATAGTTTCCCTGCAAATTCCTTATATTGATCGTGCTTTGAATAGGTACACAGGTGGGGTTACGAAACAGGCCTATTGTGTTAGTTTCCCATGTAGACTGGCCGCAAACCCTAAATGGAAGCCCAGCTGAATTCCAGGTGTTATAATTCAATTATGAGTCAATTATAATCGAACTATAGACACCGATGGATGGAAACAACTACACTATAATAATAATAAAGACATTTATTCAGCACTAGCTGACCCACGCAACTTCGTCTGCGTTTCATTCCCCACCTTTTGCAATATTATTCATTGCTGTTCAACTTCTATTGGTCGTATCGTAATGTTATATAGCTTAAAGCTTTCCTCGATAAATAGACTATCCAACACAAAAATAATTTTTCAATTCGAACCAGTAGTTCCTGAGATTACCGCGTTCAAACAAACAGACAAACTTTTCAGCGTTATTATATTAGTATATACATTAGTTTCAATAGTGATTGCAATAATATTAGTAGGGACAGTTTTTATATCCTGTTGTGTGTAATATAAAGATTCGAAATATCGTATACAACACTTTCTCTGTAAAAATGATTATTTTAAAATAGAAGAGTTTGTAAATGATAATGTTTTTGTAGAAAAACTTAAAATTCATAGCGCTGACAATATTATCTGATTGCACTAGGAATCAGTGCGTAGCGGTTTCTATGTTGATTGTCGCATGCCTCTGACTTATTATTGTGTAATTATTTGTTTAAAATAACATTTATTCAATAGAGCAACACACTAGTTTCTTGCTCATTCTTTTTGTGTGAGTCTGCATTCAGAATGAGTGGTACAATAAAAAAAGATATGACTTTTCAAAAGTGCTTCTAATGAGTTTA